TTCACAAGGTGACGTCATAATAGAGTAGAAAAAAAATAAAATGTAATGAAACATTGGGAATTTGGAACATATTGCCATTTTATACAGTAACAACAGTCAGCATGATAATATCATACTAGTACTGTCCTTAGGAAACAGTGTACGACTCCTTACAGATGAAATGTCCAGCCTTAACAGGAATCGGTAAAAAAGCTTACACGGTCATTTCAAACTTAAAGCAGAGACTTGAATCCACTGAACAAAATTATCGAGATTTAAAGCAGATACTTTAAACTACTGAACAACAGATTACAGAAATGTCAGAAATTGATATCACTAGACGAAATTTGTAATCGGAGAGATAATCGAAGTCAAAACTGGAATCTTCAGGAAGAGAGACTTACAAAACTCAAAAGTGATGTAAATAAATAAGCAACACGGTGTCATTGACACAAACCTTAGCTGTCAATTGTGAAAAAGAAAGAAACAGGACATACATTACAGAAAATAATGTGGCAGTTCTAAAAAATGAGCTTCGAAATGTCCATTTATCCTTAGTACAGGCAGATGAAATTAATTCAACTTTAGAATGGTATATAGAGGAAAGCACACTAAAAGTTCAAGAGATGTTATGTTTGCTCTTTTACCTTTTAAAATCAATCTTTATGCATTTTTCATTCTAATATGACGAGAAATGCAAGAGACATGACTTATTAGAATCCATTTTAGATGAAAACAAGGACTTTAATGACACAATAAAAATATGGTAATAAGCATTCGCCAGGGTCGTCTTCTGTCGCAGAACTTTGTCAATTCCATTAAGGACATATAATACAAAACTTTTGCCAAAAAAATTGAAAAAAAAAACAACCTGTGTCGTGTTTAAATGATTAAAATGAATAGGTTTCACCGCGGAGATTTTAATTTTTAATTATATAAAAAATGGAATTTGAAATGAAATGAAAAATATTTGTATAGAGAATAATTCTATATTTCTCGGTCAACGTCAGCGATATATATTAATGTTAAGTTGAATACCACAATAGACAATTTTGCAAACGTTTTTGAAGGGTTCTATTTCAAAAGAATGTAAAGCAAATCTTATATTTTTGTTGGTTATTTTAACCAAAAAGTTAGTCCTAACCCAAAATGCAATTTAGTCTGTCTTTGATGCATCTGGGTGCAAAACTTTCGACAGGCTAAACATAGCTTTGTATCTTTTAACTTACCGGTAGATGTTTCCTGTTAGGTATGATCAATACGCTCTTCTTAAATTATCTTTTCCACTTTTATTTCGTATTGTAAATTCAGATCGGGAATATATTTATATTTTCTTGTTCCTTAGATATTTATAAGTATTATCAGATTTAGGTCAGACTGAGACTTTCCTGTAAATTAGAACTTGACACGTCACTAGGTTTTAAAACAAGGACAAAATGTAAACAGATAAAAATATTTGGACGATGGACTATGAACAGATAACGCAGTTATTTGCTGTATAAATAATATAATCACCTGACGATTTTTTTTTAAAAAATCTGCTTACCAGTCGAGAGGATTTTGGCATTATCTTTATATAAATGTGTTCATTTTGTAGACTTTTGAAGTCAAGAGAAGAAAAAAGTGAGTATCTATTTATACTCTTTTGAAAAATACTTAGAAATTTACACAGTCATATATATGGAACACTGTGCAATCCGACACCTGAATAATGTAACACTCTGAATTCTGATGTCAATTTTTCTCCATTTTAATATTTACCTTGCATTAAACACTGTGCAATACGACACCCTGTTATTTATTATTACATAAAATTGATCTCCAAGTATATGTCGGATTATGCAGTTTTCACTGTATTATAATGTGTAGAAATCAAGTTCATCAATGCATATATTATAGCGTATTATTTGCTAATAATATATTGTCATTAAATAAAATCATTTTGCGTTATAAAAAAATTTGGTGTCGGATTTGAAAATCTTTATTGCTTAGTGAAAGAAGAGAAAAAAATTCAAACCTAGCAAAAACTTGACAAGTAAAATAAAAACAAGATGTGTTTGAATAACACTGATGCCCTCATATAGCAATATTGTGTAGGCTTAACTTTTCTTACTTGGGGAATGGAAGCTCTAGCCCTAACCATTCAAAAGTTAGAGACAATGTTAAAAAAATGATTTTAGTACGTTATACTCAAAGATAAAGGTCAGAAGATCAAGGTTTTTGGTATTGAATGAAAGATTTATCAAAGGAATTGAAGTATGAAAGCGTTTAATCTTAAACAAAAATTGCCAAGGTTAATGTTTTTTTTCATTAGTCCGGAAATCATCAAGGTAAAAAGGTTAAGGTTATTGATATCTAAAAAAAGGCTCTTGCTCCAAAGAATATATTGTGGAGTATGGAAGCTCTAGCCCTAACCGTTCAAAAACTATGGCCAAGGTTAAGATTTTTTGAAAGTAGGTTAAATTTTAAGGTCAAGGTCAAATGTCATAATTTCAAAGGAAAGGTCTTGTTACAAAGATTGAATATGTAAAATGTGGAACTAGCTCTAACCCTTTAAAGGATATGATCAAGTTTTTTTTGAAAGAAGGTAAATCTCCAAGGTCTAGGTCAAAAGTCAACTCTCTTAGTATCAATGAAGAATCTTTCTTACAAGAATTACATATATGAAGTATGAAAGCTGTAGCTGTTACCGTTCAAAAATTACTGTCAAGGTTTAAAGTCAAGATGAAGGTCAAAATGTCAAAGTTGGTGGTATCCAGTAAAAGATCTTGCCACAAGGAATATATATTTGAAGTATAAATGTCAAGGTATCTACTGTTCAAAAGTTATGGCCAAAGTAAAAATTACAATTTGTTTGTGAAAAAGTGGGTCAAATTCCAGGGTCCAGGTCAAAAGGTCAAATTTGGTGGTACCCAAAGAAACAAGGAATACACATGTGAAATATTTAGGTCATAGCTACATCTATACTAGATCAAATGTTATAGACAGGGTTAAAGTTTTTGTGGACAGACAAACAGCTAGACAGAGAGACAGAAAGAAAGAGAGACAGACAGACATACACGACAAAAACTATATATCCCCAAAACTTCGTTTAAGGGGGCACAAAAAGTATAATGCGTATATTGTTTTGTTCAAACACAGAAATTGTTTTTTTTTTGGTGGGGGTGAGGAATATGGTGGGTTTTAGGGGAAGATAGGCGTTACAGCAAATAATCAAATCTAATCTAACAACCAAGCTATATGATAAACGTGATGACTTTAACTTTTCTATCGTCAACTTCCCTTACTTATGCAGCAATATACCTTCATCACCTGCATACGGAGTATTTATATCTCAGTTGATTCGATACGCAAGAGCATGCTCTACGTATGAACAATTTCTTAATCGAGGTAAATTATTGACAAGCAAGTTGATGAAACAAGAATATCAACAGTCTCGTTTAAAGTCATCATTTCGTAAATTCTATGGTCGATACAATGACCTTGTCAGCAAATACAATTTATCATTGAATGAAATGCTGACTGACGTTTTTCATACCAATTGTTAGTCCATTATTTATACACTGAATTGACAACGGATTTTTTCCGTTATTTCCTGATTATGACAATGAGCACACGGCGGGTGTGACCGGTCAGCAGGGGATGCTCACTCCTCCATGGCACCTGATCCCACCTCTGATGTTTCGGAGGTCCGTGTTTGCTCTGCTCTTGATTTGTATATTTGTTTAATGGACGTTGAGATTGAATACTGTTCGTTATTTCCATATCCTTATCTACAAAAATTGAATAATAATAAAAATATAATAAAAAAACATGTCTTTTTTCGGGGGGGGTGTTAAAAAAAATTAAACTATTAATTTATAAACACTATTTAGATATAAACATGCCAATTACATATTTTTGATTTATGGGATGAAAATAATAGCACCTAGTATTAGAAGTTATCGATATACTTCCGTTTCAGAAAATATAAATCTATATATTTTTCTATCTTCGTCTACAGGAGACATGAGTTCTTTTCAGGGACAGATTCCGATTTTTTGTCAGTTGTGTCCAGGCCCAGTGGAGCATCATTGCAAAGTTTGCCAAATAAACCTCTGCATCGGCTGCATAATTGATCATGTTGGTGACAGATCAAAAGAACATGACGTGGTTCGATTATACTCTACCAAAAAGCAGGAGTTTCTTTTCAGGTAATGAAACAATAGGCATTAAAAGAAGATTGGTAAACTGAAAGTTTGGAAAAGAACCGATACAGGTATACTTTGTCAGTATGAATTGTTGGAGGGTTATGAATTTCGGTCGTTATGCATGTTATCTGCACTACGATATACATTAGCTAATTGATCGGTAATTTTTTTTTAAGATTATATGCGAGTACGTTACTATTTACTAGTAAATGGTTACAGCAATTAACAAGTATGAATTATCAATTTAAAATCAATATAATTGTATTATATTAACCAGTGTTTTAGTTTAATATTTTTTCTATAGGATCAGTAGTTGTTATTTCATTACATTGTAAAACTGAAAACTAATATATGAATATATATATATTTTTTTCAATATTTGTAAGCATTTGTATTTTCTGAATACAGGAAAGGTTAATTTTCTTTTCTTGGATTAATTTACGTCCTATCCTTTATAATGGAAAATAAGCAAGTTTCTGTGAAATTTGGACAAAATTAAATTACCATATTTCTTTTAACGAAAGATATCTATTTTTCTGAAATGCACAAAAAATTGGGAAAACTCTTTTACAAAATGATTTTAAATTCTTTATCACTCTGATTAGAATTTCATACCTGAAAGTTCTTAGTTCGTTAAAATTCTTCAATTAGGCAATTAACTTCCATAGCAACATCAGGAAAATCATTAATCAACCATATATTAACTAGTACTAAACGAGTGTCAAGTCTCAAAAGCTATCCTTTACGTTCATAAATATATATATATGAATTTAAAGACCTGTTTTTCCACAGACTAACAGACACTTGGTCAAGAAACCTAATATGCGTAGGATGACGGATAAACAAAAAGTAATAAGTATTATACAAAGCCCTTATCATGGTAACGACGTAAGTCAGCAATTGTGGAGAGTGCATTGTTCTGAAAAAGATAAGAACTTGGTAAGTGGAGGTGACAAAACAATCAAAAAGATAGACAAGACTGGATCTATTATACAAACCATTCAAACAAAATATAACGTTAGAGCACTGACCGTCAATTTTGACGAGGATCCGGTATTTACCTCAGCTTACTCTTCTCACGAAGATATTTACATTTCACACGGAGATACAGTTGAGATATTAATTACCATACCTGAGTGGTGTCCTGTTGGCCTCTGTTATACCAAAAACGGGGATCTAATGGTGAGCATGCGATCTAAAGGTAATTCGCAGAGCAGAGTGGTGAGATATTCGGGGACTACGGAGATTCAGAAGATACAATATGACAGTGACAATGATAAAGATCCATTGTTTTCAGTTGGTGTTGAAACTGTGCTTCTTCTGACTGAAAATGGTAATGGAGATATTTGCGTTGCTGATGGTGCTGGAAATGCAGTAGTAGTAGTTGACTGTTCAGGTAATCTGCGGTATAAGTATTTAAGCAACATTTGGAATCATCCCGATTTCGCAGGAATTGCACCATCTAACATTGCTACTGATGTCAACACTCAAATTTTGATATGTGACAGCTTTCGTAATATTATTCATATCATTGATTGTGACGGTGATTTTGTCTGTTTTATAGAACATCCATGTAACGGGGGACTAAGTATTGATGCAGACCACAATCTTGTCGTTGGGGACAAGTACACTGGTAAAATAAAAATTATCAAGTATTTGTACCGATGAACTTAATTGGTCTGTATGGAATACATTCACTGCAAAGAAACTTAATTCTACTCAATGCATTCTAGTTAATGCATTCCTTTACTTATCGAAAGTACTATTTTTCAATAAAAATTGAACCATGCAAAATATATATTTATCTTTGAATATTTTAACAAATAAAGGCATTGCAGTGTGTTCTTTCAAGGTTTTACATTCAATCTACAAATAAAATATATGGCTATAAGTAAAAGTAACTCTCGAATCTATAGCTATTCCTCTGTGTTATTAAAGAACAAGTGAGGCTAGAAGTATCATTTTCCGTCGAAAAATTTTCGGTTTGGACGCATTTTCAGTTTTCTTTCAGTATATTTTTTTTTCTTTTATCAGATTTGACAACCTGATATCTATTACCTATTATCCTTTATTTGAAGCAACATCGGTTTTTAAAGTATCTTTTGTACATTCACTTTACCTTTGATCATTGAACAAAACTAGCAAATTAATGTACTTAAATTATTTTGTGACGGTTTTGAAGCCCAAAATAACATATTGTGGGTATGAAAAAATTAAATAGGCAACAATTTTTTCTTAATTCAAGCGTATGGCGACCTATTTGTCTGTGATTCACAAGTATCGAGTACGTAAATTTATGAAAAAAAAAGTTGGGATCAGTGATGTTTTATTAAAAATATTGGTCAAAATATGTGATTTTTAGGTGAAAATGATGTAAGGTTTATCTTGACTTATTACACATATCTTCATGTTTTGGCAATGTTTATTAAAAGAACGTGGAAAATTTATTCTACAAAGAATTACGATCTTTAACTCTTCATTCCCGCCTACATTTTGCACCCATTAAATTCAATATTAATGACGATTACACCGTCAAATCTTTGTTAAATATGAAGAACACTTCTATGGTAATTAATAAATCATTTTAGTTCCAGCACTAGATAGTAAATTATCATTGAATCCAGCTCTTGAAAAAAAGAGGGTAAACGATAATTTCTGGTGAAATCGTACTTTCAGGAATCACCATATTCTGAAATAGTCTGTAATATGATAAGATGTTTCTTATATCTTTTCTTTTGTTTTACGCAAATAAATTAAACATACATAAATTAATACAATACAATTATTTAGTTGTAGATAGCTCTAAAATTGTTGAAAAGTCAGCATTTTTTCGTTTTTGTCTATTAACATATCTTCCTCCCCTTGAAACACAAAAAGCTTTGGCATAAATTTGTAAAATGACAGTCCATATTACCTGTAAAAAGAATTTTTGTTTCAGGGGGGATGTTTTTAAAAATATTTTCCGTTTTCCGTTGGTTTCTATAGTGAAAATCACAAGTTTTACCAATATTATAGAGTTATCTCTCTTTGTTACCCAAAATAAGAAATTTTTTATGAAAATTCATATAAATATCTATTAGAATTCTGAAAATCATTCGAATATGTTTACTTTTGAGAATTTACTTAGAAGTAGGCAGAGAAAAATTAGTATTGTTAGTAGTTCTTAGATTAAGATCTTCATTAAATGCCCCTAGCAATATAATAACGGGAAATTTTCTACGAGGAAAAGTATATGTTAGTCTTAAGTTCCAGAATACACAATGAAATAATAGTTTAGATTTAGGAAATTATCTGCTTTATATCCTCCCCCCACAAGAAGGAGTCCCTCATAAATCTTGATCTTTGTAGCTTTTTGAGCAGTATTTTCATTGAATGTTAAACATTAACATTGTAGAATTAAATATGTGATAAAAATTAAATTTCAATAAATGGTTTGAAGTCAGAGATTCCGTGTGAACTTTTCTAAAAAGCTGACGAGTGACATATCTTAAAGCCATATATGGCGTAACTGATAAAAAAAATATTTTTGAAAAATACAAATTTAAATTAAGTAAAGAAATATAGTTAATACATTCAAATTAAAGCTTTTCATAAAATTCTGAACACTGAAAACACCTCGTCTCATCTAAAAATACAATTTTATCTTCTCTGTAATGTTCTATTTATATCTTTTGTATTTTCTTCCGATACGGAGAAAATTCCCAGAATGAAATTTAAATTGTGATATCTTTATAACGCAATTGACTTAGATTTTGTAATTTACGGAAAAAGTTCTATCTTTATGTAAAGTAATGATACAAATAATAAGTTCTTATAATTTTAGTCTAATAATTTTCATTGCACATACGCCATATATGGCTTTAAGGTTGCAGTAAGAAGGCGCGGCTTATGCACTTGTCAATTTGACTTAATCTCGCATAAATGACGTATTTTGTACACAGTGAGAGGCGGCTGATCTAGTAACATGTACATGTACATTGAAAAAAATTTGTCTTTTATTCTCAGATAAAATATTTTCACTTGAAAGGCCATTAACTTGGATGTAGTATTATATTAACTATTTTATTTATAAGGTGTCCGTATATTAATTCTCCAGACAAGTGAAATTGTCGTGTGTTTTGTATGCAGATTCCTTGAAAAAAAAGTAATTGATAATAAATAAATAATAAATCTTCTTATTGCAAGGACATACCCTCGATGTAACTTTGTTTTACACATAAACTCATGAAGCATTAATGCTACATGTACGTTCCTGTTTAGATATTTGAAAAGTGCTGCGAACCTCATGAATTCTTGCTAACAAATTAATTTTAGCGATATTAAATGTTGTTGACCAGCAAAATATTTAACTTGCCGTCCAACAAATTCAAGCTTTGCAATTAAATCAGAGAATTTATACAGGTGTACAGCGCTTTTTACAAACTGCATACAGTGTGGAAAAGGATTATTAATCAAATTAGCGTCCACATCACGCGACAAGTCTTAATAAAAAATCTACAAGTAAATGTCCTCAAATGGCGATTTGAACTACATTACATTTTTTGATATCAGTGAAGTTCGAAAAAGAATCACCCATTCTTATAAAGTTTGCACTTCTTATCTTAAAAACTTGCCGATATTTCCATTTGTAATCTTAAGGTATGATTCTTCTTCTTTTTTGTATCTAAAGATGAATGAAATTTTCCCAGAGTGAAGAGGACGATATCACTAGGTGATAATATCAATGAGATAGAATTTGACAGTTTAATATTAGAAGTAGGTCAGGTCAAGTGAATTACCTTTTTCCTTGACATAAAGAAAAAAGATATTGCTTCTGAATATTCCATCTAGTCAAAAAGCAGAGAAGAATCCTACTTTAGCTCGAAAACAATAGCATCATTCCTATAAAAAATAATTTTCCAAATATTTTATATGATTTATATACATAACAATTTTTCCATAAAATATAATTTACCCTAAATATCTCAAATTTGGAGTAAAACAGGAAGAATACAATATACACCTCGGATCTATCAATCCAAGCGCAATATACAGGGAAAGACAATTTGCGTTTCGTTTTAAATAACGATTCAGTCCATCGGATGAACGCATTCAATTATAGCAAAAAAAAAAATGTTGGTAAAGAAGAGTGTTTTTTTTAATAATTGTTTTTCCACTTTTAAAAAGATTAATTCTTAGTTTTAAAAAAAGTAGTTATCACGAGGGACATCATCAATATGAAAATATAAAATGTAGATATTTTAAAGATAATTTACTATTATTTTATGATCATCTTCATGTTATCTACTGTAGTATTCATTACTGCAGAAAAAACATAGTGAACTGGTTAATTTTGCTCTATGAAGCAAGTCATTAGATTATGACAAAGAAAAAGGAATAAAGACTGAGAGTGAACAAAACTTGATTCGAATTATTGATTCCAATTAGACACCAGACTTATAGTACAATATGCCATATTATAAAATCAAGACACGGAAATACATCTAAATGTTTCATTTTACATTTTTATCATGAAAACGTGTAAAAGTGTGCGTCAAAAAGCTCAGAACCTATCTAGATTATTTGAATTGCCCTATATCATGACACGGCTTTTAGAGAAATTTCTTTAAGCTGATTTGAATGCTGGGAACAAAATACTATCAAAAGTGATGAAAATCCTTATATCTTTACTTAATTCATGCCTCTGTCAATTGCGTCTAACCAGTGAGCTACAGAGCTCCGATTCACTGATCTTCCCACTACTGTAAATTCGGTGGCGTCAACAATGTCCCCTACAGTTCTTGTCGAAAATATACATGTACGTTATATCTCGATCAATATTTCAACTAAAACAAGATATCCATATCGCTGACCTCAATTGCGCAATAATGTATTTTTATCAATTGATAAAATGACAGAATGAGTTACACCTTTTATGCAGAGGTTAAAGAATTGATAAAACCAACTGAACTTTTCTATATTTAAATAGTGAGGACTAAGTTAAAGCATTATCATTTGAAGGTTTTAACTTTTAGAAGGATGGCAAAATATTCATCTTATACAACCTTCACGGTAATACATTTCTTGTGCTTTTCAAATATGGAATACGGATTGTGTCTCTTGTTTCACGACCATATGAACAGCACATCAGTTGATCACACTACCGTTTCCCAAGATGCAGCGGGGATTCACCAACTTCTAATCAAGCAAATGTCATACGTGGAAAACAGCTTACAACTCCTTACAGATGAAGTCTCAAGTCTTAAAAGAAATCGGTCAAAAGCTGACACGGAAATTTCCAACTTAAAGCGGAGACTTGAATCCACTGAACAACATAATCAAGATTTAAAGCAAAAACTTCAAACTTCTGAACAACAGATTACAGACTTGTCACTGAAATTGTTGTCACTAGAAGACATGTGTAATCGGACAGATAACTTAAGTCAAAACTGGAACCTTCAAGAAGAGAAACTTAAGAAAATCGAAAGTGATGTAAGCAGCACAGTGTCATTAACAAGAACTTTAGCTGTCAATAGTGAAAAGAATAGAAACAGAACATCGATAACAGAAAACAACGTGTCTATTCTAAAAAATGAACTTAGAAATGTTCATTTACACCTAGTGAAAGCAAGCAGTAAATCAGATGAAATCAATTCGACTTTGGAATGGTATATAAATGATAGCACACTGAAAATTCAAAAGATTATAGGTATATATTTTAAACAATGTTTTAAAAACAAATTTATTAAATGTAAAAATGTTTGTTTTAAAGGTAATTTAGACATTTTCATATTACGTAGATACGTTTTTATACATTTTCTTGCGAATCAAATCAGCTAATAAATAAAAAAAACAGTATGCAGGCAATAAAATTATGTCACACTATGGGTGTATTATTTCAGGTTCATCCGGAAATATAGTATCGACAGATGAATGGTTATAACTATTATTTTACTGACTATGGCTCGTTGATATATTGAAATGTCCAGTTAAAGGCCACAGCTAGGTTTTCTTTATTAAACCTTTTAGTTTAAGCAAAGTCTGATTCATATATACAAAAAAGTTTGATAATAAGGAGACGCAATTGGCACCCATGTGAATTCCACTTGATTTTTGCAAACCATAAATTCTCTATAAAAAACTCAAGTATCTTTAAAATATAAACGTGTGTGTACAATAAGAATATTTTATTTATAATATATAAGTAATTTCGAAAATGAAAAGGGGAGCAACATGAAATTTTCAATTTTTAACTTATATAATTCCATTTATGAATTTTAAAAGGAAAAAGTATCCAAATATTTCTACCAACCACTTTCTTTTCAGATATTACAAATCCCATTGGATTTACTGCTGGGTCAACAATTAGCAATTCTTTTTCTGGTTCAACTCTGCTCTTTAACAAACTGATCTACAGCATTGGTGGTGGTTATGATACTTCTACAGGTGTTTTCACTTCACCTGTGACAGGTGATTTTGTTTTTTATGTTGTGGCGGTCTCAGATTCCATCACTGATCTGTTTCTGGACATTGTGTTAAACGGTGCTGCAAAAGTGAGAACATACTCTTGGACTCCAACATCACCACATATCGTTCAAACAGGAACAAATGTAGCTGTTCTACATCTTCAGACTGGAGATAAGGTTTGGATAAAGAATCATAATGGTGGAGGATACCGCGCAGATAGAGGTGTACCTATTGTTACCTTTAGTGGCTTTCGATTATAAACAGATCTGTATATACAGTAAACATGAATAAGAAACATTAGTTATTTGTTTCATAGTGATATAAAATATATTGAAATAAAGTGATATTATCAAGTTGACCTTTTGATTTCTTTTAAAAAAGAGTTTAAGAGTTGTTCGCAGAGTTGTTGGACAAATTTATAATTGTCAGTATGAATAGTTTTAGATATACTTATTATCTACCAATTTTTTAAAATGAAATTTAAAGGCAGAATAGATTGATTATGGATGGTTGACCAAATATTTTTTTAAGCTGCTGCTTTTAAAGGACGGTTAATGTGAGTGTTCACAATGCTTTTATGACATATCAATAGAACTGATTACCCTTATACTTCACACTATCTTAGTTTTTATTTTTCTTACAATATTTAATTTGATTCTCCAATTAATTTTCAAGTTGATATTTAAAGGTATTTTTATTATTTAATACAGAGCGCAGCCTCTGATAACTGTTTCTGAGGATTACAAGATACATGTACATATGTTCTATTTTTTAGATTAGAAATGTGCTCATAAAATGTTTTCTTTCCTGAAAGTATTTACATAAACCCATTTACATCACAATCCAAGAACAAGAAAATTCCCTAGAGCCCCATTTCCAAGATCTTGAGTTTAAGGTTAAGCAAGATGTGTTTGAAAAACACTGTGCGCCCGGCGGCAACAGAGTTCGAAAAAGGTATCTTAAGCATAAAGGTCAAAGTCAAGGTCACAAGGTCTTTGACCTTAGTGTCATTTGAAAGAATTTAATTAGTAGAGTATGCATACCAAATATGAAGTCTCTAACTTGTATGGTTCAAAAGTAATAGTGAAAGTTCGAAAATGCCATTTTTAGCATATATCGTTTAAAAAAAAAAATAATTAGTGGAGTATGCAAACCAAATATAAAGTCTCTTTCATATTAATTATATTGGTATGATTTATATGAAGGCCAATATGGTTAGTCGGCGCACGACCAACATTCGGAATAATTTACGCATAAAACTATTACATTTGTTTTTATTTCTTTGGTACTATGTAAAAGATTGAACTGAAATTTGAATAACTGTAACAAGAATCAAAATATTAGTAACTGCCCTGTCATATGAAGAAACAATCAAAACATCACCAACGAATTGGCCAGGGAAAACATGATGGGGGAGTTAATTGGTTGCACTGCTGAAAATCTAAGAAAGAGCAGTAAAAAAGATCAACGGAAACTTTAACGGTAACTCTTTAAGTTAAAATGTATGAACACACAGAACTCTTCTATTTATGCCATCGTTAAAGTTTCTGTCGTTAAATGCCCAAGGGCTTAATGAATATTCTATGAGACAGACTTTACATGATTGGCTTAATGATACTAATTGCAAATTAGTTTTTCTACAAAAAACTCATTATATGACTGAAAGAGAAAATATTTACAATGCTAGATGGCAGGGTTCAAGCTATCATTGTTTTTCCAACTCTTCCATTAAAACATGATTGTGGCGTAAACCTTTTGTTTGCGTTGTCCACTCTATAGCTTAGTGTTGAGCTAACTCCCCTAACAGTCCTTTAAGTCACCTGTAAGTGTCCATTCTTTTTGGAAAACTGTCCATTCTTTTTAAGAATGGACAGTTTTTTTTCAATAAGAATGGACAGTTAAAAACAAACATAATGGACAGATAAAACAAACAGAATGGAGAGTTACAGGTAAATTTTAGCATGTGCAGAAGAGGGAAACAAAAACAAGTTAATGTATTAAATAAATACGATTTAATGTACATGTAAATAACAAAAAGAACTTGGAGATATAAGTTAATCCAGAACACAGTGTCTGCATCGGATTTGTTCGATTTTACACATTTAAATCCATGAGAAATGTACATTATTTCAATTCACAAAACTTGAATTTAAATGACACAATTTCACATTTGATTAAGATTTTGGAAGCATTATTCCCTATAGAAGAATCCATTTTAAGCTTGAAGTAGGCTTATATTAAATCCATCACCCAGAAAACAGTATGCTGTTTTAAAACTACACTGCTGCAGTGAATATTTCGGTAGCAAATAATCAAAATTGAAAGATTTCCAGATTTGATTTGATATACATTTTCAGGTCGAAGTTTGGCCCATGGCTATCCAACACTCAGAACACAAGTTTGCATTTCACCATCACACTGCTGCAATTGCAATTTATATATCCTCAAAAACTGAATTCGAATTAAAAAAAACAGATTTCCGGTTTGAATTCGAAATATCTGTATTTGTCGTCGAAGTTTTGAGGGGATAAAAGATTGGATAATATTTTCTTTTACACTTACTATTCTCTGTTTCCATATCAAAGTATCACTGGTTGTGTGCATCTTTTGGTTTCAAATCGATTTCGATTCTGTCATATATTCTCTCCATGAGGAGGGGAAACATGTTTGCCTTTACAATGCAAAATATAAACTGATTTTGGGGAGTTGCATTCTTATGTAAAAACTGGCATCCCCCGAAATGCACCTATAACTGTCCATTCTTTAGACAAAGACTTGATATTTGCAACTGGAAACACAATGGCTATTCAACAAATTGCTGTGACCCCAAGCTTACCTATAACTGTCCATTCTGTAAAGAAAGAATTTATAGTATGTGTGCTACCTGTTTTGCACATTTTTTGTTAAATTTTCAGAACAAAGAGAATCGTGTTTTAAGTAGGAGAAAGGCCTCAAAACTGTCAATTCTGTAAGAGAAAGAACTAATCTCGGGCCTACGGCCCTCGATTAGTTCTTTCTCTCACAGAATGGACAGTTGAGGCCTTTCTCCTTTACATAGTAGAGGTGGTGTCTGTATTATGTCATAAAATCAACCAATTTTTGTTCATAATATACACAAATCGGAAGATGGAATGAGAATTTTAATTAATATTGAGTATGAACAGAAAATTAAAACTTTAGTCAATATATATGCGCCAAATTTAAAAATGAAAGATGTAAATTTTTCAAAAAACTTGCTTCATGGGTTTCTCAATTTCGTTTAAATGAACATAACATTATATTAATTGGGGATTTTAATTCAGTATACAATGCAAAGAATAAATTATCAAAAATAATTAATGATTTAAAATTTAAATTTCGATTGACAAAATTAATCCTGAAAAAGAAGGGAATACATAGTGTGATTCAAATAATAAGCCTATTAGTAGAATTGATTACATATTCACTTTCGAGAATCTATGTTATCCTTTTGAAAAAATATTACTTAGAAAACCTCCAGATGTTTCAAATACTAGAATAAGTGACCATAGGTCTTTTATTTTGTACTGCTTCCTCTCAAAAATGAAAGAGGTAATGGATTTTGGATACAAGACATTGAATTTTGTAACATTATCAAAAACTTCTTCGAAGATGTGCCTGAAAATATTAATAATCAACCAGATTCACAAATACATTGGAAAATGATCAAATATGAAATAAAAGAGCTATGCATTGAAAGTTCAAAAAAAAAAAAATAAGAAAAACAAAATCGTAAGAAATCGTATTAAAGTAATAGAAAAGGAAATTAAAGAAATTGAAATGTCTAGTGATATAAATATGCTACATTAAAAGCATTTGCAAAAAGAATTAGACAATTTGTATACATATAAATCAAAAGGGGCAAGGGTGAAATCCAAAGCGCGTTGGAACGACGACGGTGAAAAAAAACACATCCTATTTTTTAAGACTAGAAAAGAAATACCAACCACATAATGTCATAAATAAAATATCGGTAGGAGATAAATGTGTATACGAAACGGAAGAAATTTTAAGTACACTTAGTTCATGCTATGAAAAACTATACTCGTCTATCAATATGTCAATTAACGATGTAAATACATATTTACAAGAAACCGAAATAACTAATTACCTATCTGATGAGGATAGAGAAAATTGCAATGGAGTTATATAACAATTATTGAAGAATGTACAGAAGCTGTTTATGATACAGGGTTCTCCACATTTGAAAATTCAACCATGGAGGAAGCTGCGCGAAGGCGAAATGTGGCTTAAAACACTAATGCATCTTAGACTTTCTAATCTTCATTAATCAATGATTGGTTTTACAATTTTAAACGTACCCATTGCAACACAAAAACAATGAAACAACTAACACTTTTTAAAGTTAAAAAAAAAATAATTAAATTGAGAAGGATTTATCCTGTATCTTACTTCACAAATTTACCAAAATTTGCCAAAAACTGCAGTAATCTTTTGAAGGAATTTAAAGAAAAATATTGATACAGGTAACCAGTAACCATGGCATTTACAGATTAATATTTGTAAGAATTGTAGCCTGTTGTATGAAATATTTTGTTTCAATATGGCTAAAACTGATGAATTGGTAGTGTTTTTTTTATAAGTTAACACACAGAGGAACATTTGGACCAGTGTCCTTTTTTTCTAAACGTTTTATTTTTCTCGATATTGCATTTAGCACCCAGTTTTGTTTGCACTGCTCCACGTGCCCAGAGCTAAAAATAGCGCCACGCGACGTTTCCTATAACAACGGGAAGTATCTCTAAAACTAAGACGGCGATTGAGACGCAGGCTTTATCATATGCACATTTTATCAAAAAGGTAATAAAGTTATAGCTTAAAAAGCAGAGCATGGGAAATTAATTAAATACAGAGGAACATGAAATTTTTACAGAGTATTTTTTTCTGGCACTGAAACTTGAATCGCAAGCATGACGATTATTGTGCTCGCAATACCGGTATGTGTAATCTTTTATGAACCCGTTATATATATAATCATGTAGTGAACATGTTGAAATTCCCCAAAAATATTTTCTCGTGTACAGGAAAATTAGCTCTCAAAGTAATGATCATCTGATCAGCTAATTGACTCTCGTTGATTGTCACGCTTCACAGCATTGTCGCTGATTAACGACGTGTTTGTTTAGCACAGTCCGCTTTCCTTCGAGGCATGCCAGGTGCATGGCAGTCGTAGTATAAACACAATTAACTACTCAAGCCATTAAAAAAGTAGGTGTCAGGA